CAGTGACTCCAGGTTGAGCTGTTGTTCACTATCTTAGCTGTAGAGGGCAGTGTCACTGGCCCTCATGTGGGATCCGAACCAGGGCCCTGCTACTCAGAGCTGGTGTCCTAAGCCAGCTCTTAACCAACGCGCCACTTGGCCAGCCCCAACCTATGATTCTTAATGTCCCTGAATTAGGAAATAGCTTCTGTGTGAGTTAAAAACTTGTGAAAGGCTGCTCATGTCAGAGACCTGAAAAAGTAGTGGCTAAATAAGGTAGACATTTATTTCTCTCACATATAAGTGTGGCCCAGAAATAGGCCATTCAAAACTGGTGAAGTGGCTCCATATATTATCTTTCCATTCTCAATATTGCCTCAAGGTCCTAGATAGCTGCTGGAGCTCCAACTATTACATCTGCATTCATGATAATGAAAGATACACAAGGGTAGAAGGGTTTAGCTCAGCGGTTCTCAACCTGTGGGTCGCGACCCCTTTGGGGGTCGAACGACCCTTTCACAGGGGTCGCCTAAGACCATCAGAAAACAAAAATATATTTACATTACGATTCATAACAGTAGCAAAATTACAGTTATAGAGTAGCAAAGAAAATAATTTTATGGTTGGGGGTCACCACAACATGAGGAACTGTATTAAGGGGTCGCGGCATTAGGAAGGTTGAGAACCGCTGGTTTAGCTTCTCCCTTTTAAGGCGTTTCCCCAGAAGTCTGATTTCATACAAATACATTTTTGGTTATGGTTTCCATATAGTCAAATCTGTCTCTTTTTTGTTTACGAAGGTCTAACAATTAAGTTCATGAACTTGTTGCAACAATGTTGCTAACCTTTTTTGATATCAGAGGGAGAATTCATTATGAATTTGTACCAGCTGGACAAACAGTTAACCAAGTTTACTATTTGGAAGCGCTGAAAAGGCTGCATAAAAACATAAGACAACCTGAACTTTTCACCAACAATTCATGGTTCTTGCATCACGACAATGCACCAGCTCACACGGCACTGTGAGGGAGTTTTTATCCAATAAACAAATAACTGTATTGGAACACCCTCCCTACTCACCTGATCTGGCCCCCCAAATGACTTCTTTCTTTACCAGAAGACAAAGGAAATATTGCAAGGAAGACATTTTGATGACATTTAGAACATCAAGGGTAATAAGATGACAGCTCTGATGGCCATTCCAGAAAAGAGTTCCAAAATTGCTTTGAAGGGTGGACTAGGCGCTGGCATATGTGCATAGCTTCCCAAGGGGAGTACCTTGAAGGTGACCATAGTGATATTCAGCAATGAGGTATGTAGCACTTTTTCTAGGATGAGTTCATGAACTTAATTGTACAATGTTCTGGTCTAAGCTTAATATTAAAAAAACTTCCCCAATCTAGTTATCATAAAAATATTCTATATATTTTGTGGAAATTTATGTTTATAGTGTGGATTTAGGGATCTAACTTTCTTTTTCCAAACAGCTGCCCCAAGAGGATATTTTCTTTAACCTATATACTTGTTCCCCTTGTAGCTACTAGCCAAGACCCTTCACTCATTTGGTTGCACTTGTATTTCTAAACATTTCCTATTTAGTTTCAACCTCTGGACTTCCATTATATCCAATGCATATCTCTTTTTGCACTTATACATGGCATTATTATAATCTATTTTCAAACATTTCTTCCACACAAGGCTATGAGCACCTTGAAAGTAGGGACTGTCTTAATCAACTTTGTATCTCTAACACTAGCAGCTTCCTCAATCAACAAGAATTAAATGGAATGAATAAATGGAATGCTGCCATGTTATATGCCATTTGTTATTTGTTCCATTCAGAAGGTTAATTCCTAATGACACAATAGCCAGCACCTTAATCTCTTTATTAACATGCCTCTAAATCTTATTTATTCTGAGAAAGTTTCCTAAGCAAAATTAATCCCTTTGGCACTGTTTGGATTTCAATTAGTTTCAACTCTGTGGCATTATATTTTTGTGTATAACTTACTTCAGGGAGCCTCTATCCATTTATTCCAGTAAATAGTAGTAAGCAACCGTTCCAAGGCTCCGGTACTTAGAGGACCCTCCCTGGGACCCTGAGGGAGCTGTTTATTCAGGGAACAGTCATGGTGAATCTTATCTGCAAGTTCTCAGGCTAGATGCTGTGAGGAGGCAAAGCCGAGTCAGACATGGTTGCCTTTAAGAATTCATGATACCCCAATGAGGACAAGTGCGTTTTGAAGTGTTTGGGGAGGGAAGGTTGAGTATACAAAAATCTTGGGTGTTACTGCCCTCTCACAAGTTAGATTATTTCACCTGAATAGATCGTTGTCTTTCTTTCAGAATTTTCGTCTCCATTCAGTGAATAAGTACTTGTTGAGTTCTGTGGGGTTGCTTTCCTTTTTCTTTCTCGAATCCCATGTCCCCTTCTATCCAGGTCACTAGGAGTGTGTCTAGGGGGAGGGAGAGCACTGGGTGCATACAGGGAGTGGAGCTCAAAGGAGGGAGGGCCTGGAGAGGGCCCATCAGCGAGGGAAACTGCAGGGAGCATGAGCTTCGTTTTATAACCCTGACTGCAAACAAAGGGATCATGTTGGATCTTTTAACCATTTCTCTGTGGCCAGAGATCATAGGCGCATCTTCACTAAAAGCTCACTGACATAGAACATTAAATAAGGTTAAGGCTCAAAGAACACCCAACTCCCATCTTCCTGAGTACCTCCAGTTTCTTTCAAACCCCAGCTCCAGCCCAGCCAGTAACACATTAACTGGTTTGTGCTTGCTTATCTATTATCACTTCTTGCCTCTCAGAGTCATGGTTCCTTTTCTGGTCCCTGGGTCCCTCTTTGCTATCCATGATCTTCCTCTTTTGGGAAGCCTTGGAATTCTGCCAATATCTGCGACTTTAGGTACTGAGATAAAGAACAACAGAAATAAAGACTATGACTCCCAGGAGATTCCAGATTACTGAGAGGATAAAGCTGACACCAGAGGTAAACGTCACCATACTAAAATAAGTAGAAGAGCGCATTTGCCAGTTTATAAATTCAGCTTAAAATGGTTGGCTTCCTCCTCTGACCCTATTGTTAGAACTGTAGGGTCCCCTGAACCTCCACTGAAGGTGACACTAAACTCCACTGAATTCTTTCAGATCCAACCTGATGAGCCTGGCTTAGTTTCTTTGTTCCCTACTGTTGGAACTCTTAGACACTCCCACAAACATACAAGGATTTATAATTCAAAACTCAGGAGATACAGGCCAAGCTATTGGCCTAATAGGTAGGCTAAACTCATGGTTAGGAGGAAAAAATGAAGGGCCTGCGTGGGAAGAATTTGCTATCTCAAACACGGCGTCATAGCAGCAGTCATTGTGGAAAAACTCAGACTGTGTTGCACCTCTTTTTACCTAATAATATACCTGTTATCTGGTTTAATGTTGATTTTATTTTCGATATTTGAGAGAGGTGAGCGCCCTCATCTTTTTCAGTGCTTGGGGCTTCTAAATACCTTCATGTAATCTTGGGCTCTTGGATACATTTGCCTCCAGGCTCATCTGGCTCTGCCTTTGGGCCTCAGCAGAAATAAAAGAAACCCTAAGGAAGGATCTCATATCCTGGTTCAGGTTCCTGCATGAGGCTTGCCTGGCTTCTCCAGCACTCTGGGACTGGGTGGGTCCTTCCTCTCTCTTGCCAGTACCCCTTCTTCTCGTCAAGGCCGGATGGAGTTAAGGTGTGGGACATGCTGGCCACCTTTCCAAATGCCTGACTAATGTCTGTAGGTTGCTTGGCTCTGATTCTCCTGTGCCCTCTCCTGCCATGTGATTCTCTCTCCTGCACTTCCCTGGGGTCAGCTGCAGCTCATCCCTGGTCTCTGCAGTGCTAACACTGACCCCTTACAACTGAGTCTCTTTCCAAAGCACAGAGGAGGGACAATCCCTGGTCTTTTCCTTGGTCTACCCTCTGGTCACATCACCAGCATCAATACTTTCACTTGGTCCACAGTTCAAGAATGCTGTTTGAGCTGTTCTGTGAGTATAACAGGCTGTTGTGGGCTGGCATGGCAGCCTTCTTAACTATAACCATCAAGGGGCTACATATGCCAGGTAGTAAGCCAAGCCCCTCATATGTGTTATCTTATTTCAGCTTCACAACAACTCTATAAAATAGATATTAGTATTAGACCCAATTAGACAAAAGAAGTCACTGAAGTACAGAGAGATTACAGAATTTGCCCAAGGTCACACAGTTAGAAAATAACAGAGCCAGGATTCAGACCTAGCTGTGTTCCTCCAAAGCCCAGGTGTGCTCATAACTACCACTCACTTGGTGTTACTATTAATATGTAGATTATCTCAACAAAATATATATACAGTTTGTAATGTTATATTATAATAGCATATTTAGCAATTAAGAATGGATACCTCTTGGGCCGGCTGAGTGGCATGTTGGTTAAGAGCTGGCTGGCTTAGGACGCCAGCTCTGAGCAGCAGGGCCCTGTTTGGATCCCACATTAGGGCAGCAGTTTGGATCCCACATTAGGGCCAGTGACGCTACGCCCTCTACAGCTAAGATGGTGAACAACAACTCCACCTGGAGCTGGGCTGCCCTGAGTCACCGGTGACAGTGAAGCTGCAGCCCCTGCTGCAGTGGGCTCCCATAAGCTACCAAGAGCCGCTGTGAGCGGCCGTCCAGTGGCTGGCGACCAATCTGCCTCACCCAGGAAGAGCACAATGATAATACCAACATGGGCCAGTGAAGCGAAATCCTCCACAACTAGACTGAAGAACAAAAGGACAGCAACTTGTCTGTTCCCCTCCCCCAATTGCCCAATAAAATTTAAAAAAAAAGAAAAGTAGATACCTCTTTTGGTTACCTTATAAATCAAATATTTAAAATGTTTTCTCTTTATTCACCGTGATGTGGTTTTTATGGAAAAGAAGGTAGGACTTTGAGGGGAACATCAAAGAAAAGTCAAATATAAAAAAATGGGAGAGCTTTTTCTAGATTTAGATACTGGAACAAGTGTTTATCCTTTAATTATTTTTGCCTTAGGGATTTTACAGCTCAACAAATAGAGCCACTCAGGTTCTGAGTGACTGAAGCTGGCAGAAGACAGAGCCAGTGGAGTGGAGTCAATAAAAGGGCGCAGATGACTATAAGGCTCCCTGCCATTGGCCTGTCTTAATCTGCAGTCAGAGACAGGCAGAGGAGGTTCAAAAAAAGAAGATCCAAATTCTCTATCCTATATAGGGGGCTGCATAAACAATTCCTGTAAGAAGGGAACACCGATTGATCTCCGCTATTATACCACTATCTTCAGATGGAGTTCACCCTTCCGGACTCAGCTATGGGGTGCCAGAGCGGGGACTCTGCAAAACCACGTTTGCGCTTCACTACCTGCCACCTATTAGGCTCTGCCAACAGGGGGCGCTGGAGGGAGATGGTGAGGCTGGAGGCAGGGCTTCCTGTTTGCTTCCTATTTACTTCCTGCTTCCGTGAGCATCACCATGTCAACGCGTGTTTACTTCGGAGTGGTGGTTCTATTATCTAGCTGCATGAACCTAGTTTACAGCAACGGCGGACAGAGACACCAGCCTCATAACAGTTCTGAATCTCAGCCTAGGGGCCTTCTTCTGAACTCAGAGACTCCAGCAGCAATTGAGTAGTGTCCCCATTTCAGAGGTCTTGAGTTTCAGCTTGTTGGCACCTTTCTTCCCAAAGTCTAAGTTTAATAATTTCCATTTTGTTTCTTCGTTCTTCCAGCCTAGAGGTGGTAGCTACTTCCAGCAATTGCTACTTCCCTAATAATTTAGTGTCTACCCTTCCACACCACACACAACTTTTCAATTATTTATCTAATTTTATACCTAGTTAAGTTCTTTATATTAAATTTGCTATTTCAAATGTTTGGCCAGGAATGCTGCCTTTTTTGGAGTGGTGGGTTGGGGGAGAGGCAAACAATGTCAGTGGCTTTGAAGAAGGCATTTTCCATGTTGTATTGCCAAAACCACCCCATGAAGCTCTCACTGAAGTCCAGCTGGCCATAGTGTTATCTATTCTTCAGACATTAGTGAGGGAGAGCTGCTGTCTGGAACCCTGGGGATATTTCTACAACGTACAGTTTATTATCAGTCATGGAAAGATAGGCAAATGGATTTTTTCTAGCAGTTGCCATTTGAAGAACAGACTGGTTTTCATTGACTTTTTTAAGTAAAAAAACAAAACAAAAGAAACACTCCTTGAGTGTATTTTTATTGCTTTACTCTTAATGTTCAGGGAACATGAGAGGAGTGATACTTGGACTCCAGGCCAAAGGGGAAAAAAGCTTTCAAGTGTTTGTATGAGCATTGACAAGAGTTTATGAATGGTTTATGACAGGAGAGCATGGATAGGAACCGGGCTGCCCTGGCTGAAATACCTGCTTGTCTTCGCAGATATTGACGGCATTTTTCCTGCCTTGCTCACTTCCCTGAATGATTTTGTTTTCTTGAGCATAGGCTCCTGAATGACATATTTGAGCTTGTTCTCTTATCTGAGAGCAGGAAGCTGAAAGGCCAATGATAAAGCCACTTGCTGCTCTCTACTTTGCAGAAATTAAGGAGTCGCCTGAGACCATTTCGTGGACGCTTTGTGACTATCAGAAAATATATTTCAGGGAAGCTAAAAAGACCAGGGGATATGGTGTTCACATTTGCTTCTATGGAACTCAACCAGTCTTCCCTTGGAAACAGAAACAAACCCTGGCAAGAGATCATCCCTAAGTAGCAAAGAAGCTATTAAAGGTGAGAATTTTCTTAATTTTTCATTTTTTTCCTCTTACATTCCCATAGTTATTAGTTAAGAGGGTACAATCTCATGCTTAGAAAGTGGATACAAAAAGGGAGAGCAATCGTTGCTGGATGTGTCACATTTTGTTTCTTTTAGGGTTTTTTTTCTATATTTTTATTATTTTAATTTTTTTATGGTACTCAGTACCCTGTATTTTTATTTAAAAGGTAGCTGTGGTTTGGATGAACAAGTATTAGACTTATAGGCAAAAAACAAAACAACCCTCCCCCCCAAATCAAACCAAACAAACAAGGGGGTGCGGAGTGGGGGTGAGTCCCAGATTTACTTCTTAGAATATACGTGATATTTGGCTTCTGTTTTCCTACCTATAAAAAATAGGAAATAATACTACTAATAACTACATTTCATGTATGTTGTGAAGATTAAATGGGACAATATAAAGAAATATTTCTGGCCCATTGAAAGTACTCATTAAATATTATATATGCATAGCTCTGTGTGTGTCTATAAATATATTTTAAATTTGGATAGGTTAAGAGTTATCTATATGAATAATTAATTACACTGCATTTTTGGACTATATCCAATTTTTTCATACTTTTTAAGAACTTTTTTTTTTTGAAAGGGTGGCTAGATAACATATCTAATCAATGAATTATATATGGTGAAAACATCCTAACATATAAATTGCCAAATAAGAGCAAGAAATGTAATTTTATTTTAAAAGGACTTTTAAATTTCTAGAACTGATGCTGAGAGTCTGAATTTCGTGGATTTTCTGTCTAGACTGATCAGAAATTCTAGGCCCAGATAAGAGCCATGTTAGAAATAGGGTGGAAAGGGGGGCAGGGGAGAATGGGAAATGAAGGGTGGGGACTTCCTCTTACTAATTACACCTCTACATCTGCAGGTGCTCAGTTCTGTTTCCCTTTCTCTGCCCCGAGATAGAGGTGGAGCTAGGTCCTGGCTGCAGCATGATCAGGTAATTTGCAGGGTCAGGCTATATATAGACCTCCAGCAGTAAGCCAGGTGTAAGAGGCTCCTAGGCAGGTCTTGAATGAGGATATTTGTCTCTAGAAGACATATATTTTTGCCATCACTTTGGAGTTGAACTTGATGTTCCTGGGAAAACATTTAGGGTTAGTTTGTAATTGAAGGCATTTTGTTCTGTTCAAGGATTCCATCGTCCTCCTTCCCTGTGCCCAAACTCGACTGATCTTCCATTACATGAAGATGATTTGGTGGAAGAAGAAACTCTGCCGGCAGCATTACCTGTGGGCTCTGGGCTGCTATTTCCTGCTAGCCATTGTTGCTCTGAAACTTTCTCTCAGATTGCAATGTGACTTTGATTCCCTGGATCTGGAGTCCAGGGACTTTCGAAGCAAGCACTGTAGGGACATCTTGTACGAGTCCCTGAAGTTGCCAGCAAAAAGACTCATAAACTGTTCTCGAATCACCCGAGGGGACCAGGAAGCAGTGACTGAGGCTCTCCTGGACAACCTGGATGTGAAGAAGAAGCGGAAGCCTTTCACAGACACCGACTACCTCAACATGACCAGAGACTGTGAGCACTTTAAGGCCCAAAGGAAGTTCATACAGTATCCACTCAGCAAAGAGGAGGTGGACTTCCCTATTGCATTCTCTATGGTGGTACATGAGAAGATCGAAAACTTCGAAAGGCTGCTGAGAGCTGTGTATGCCCCTCAGAACATATATTGTGTCCACGTGGATGAGAAGTCCCCAGAAACTTTCAAAGAGGCAGTCCAGGCAATTATTTCATGCTTCCCCAATGTCTTCATGGCCAGTAAGTTGGCTCGGGTGGTTTATGCCTCTTGGTCTAGGGTGCAGGCTGACCTGAACTGTATGGAGGACTTACTCCAGAGCTCAGTGCCGTGGAAATACTTCCTGAATACATGCGGAACAGACTTTCCTATAAAGACCAATGCCGAGATGGTCCTGACCCTCAAGATGTTGAAAGGGAAGAATAGTATGGAGTCAGAGACACCTGGGTCCAAAATATCTCGCTGGAAATATCACTATGAGGTGACAGACACAGTATCCATAACCAACAAGATGAAGGACCCTCCGCCTTATAATTTACCTATGTTCATAGGGAATGCCTATATCGTGGCTTCTCGAGGCTTTGTCCAACAGGTCTTAGAGAACCCCAAATCACGACAACTGATCGAATGGGCAAAAGACACCTATAGCCCCGATGAACACCTCTGGGCCACCCTTCATCGTGCTCCATGGATGCCTGGCTCCATTCCTTACCACCCCAAGTTCCACACCTCGGACATGGCTGCCATTGCCAGGCTGGTCAAGTGGGAGTACCACGAAGGAGACGTCAGCATGGGGGCACCTTATGGACCTTGCTCTGGAACCCACCAGCGGAGTATCTGCATTTATGGGACTGGGGACCTGCACTGGATGCTTCAAAGCCCTCACCTGTTGGCCAACAAGTTTGACCCCAAGGTGGATGATAATGTTCTTCAGTGCTTAGAAGAATACTTACGTTATAAGGCCATCTATGGGACTGAACTCTGACATACATTATGAGAGGATTGCCCTGTGGGGCAGGAACATGTGCAAACATGCCCAGATTGTGCTGGGACAACTGAGGGTTGGGAGACCAGGGCTCTGGAGTCTATGGCATCCCCCAGGGTAAGGGGGCTGCTACTGGAGTGGGTAAGTAGAGCGGCTGCCTTGCAAAACACTTCCCTGGATGAACACTGATGCTTCTGTCAGCCCACTCCAGTGGCTCCTCTGCTGTCTTTTTCACAGAGTGAGAATAAGAACCAGTTATTTGGGAGAGTCAGGGATGGAAGTGTGGCAGGGACCCCTGGATTTTATTAGTTGAATGCTTGGTGTCCAGATTTTCTGTTCTTGGAGATGCTGTTTCTAACAATTCCAGGCTTGGTAGTGGGGAGGGGAAGTTTGGTGGAAAGAGGACCTTCTCTTTTGTACTATTAATTTAAAAAGAAATAGCTCCTGATTCAAAGCCCACCTCTACGTTTTGTCCGGTAAGCCAGAAATAAAAGTTGAGACTTTCTCTCATAAATATTGGTGACATTTAAAATCCCTGGTGGCTGGCAAGAGACTCTCCATTATTCCAAAATGATCATGGCAGGCTATCTCAATAGCAAATTCAAAATAATACAGAGGAGCAGAGATGGTTTCTTTTATTATTAAATGCTTTCCTGATTTTGTTTACATTGCCAGATTCATGACTTTGCTGTAAGGAAAAATGCAGGGTGATTTAACCAATTTGACCACTCTATCCTTATGGGAAAATTACAGCCCTAATTTTGCCAGCTTCACAGCTAAAGCTTAACATTCCATAACCAAGGTAATAGCTATTGAGGTAAGGTCACTGTATAATTTATTTTACACACTGGAACACACTGTAAGTGGGGGTGGCTGCACTATTAAAATTATATTGAGAAAGAAGAATAAATGAGGACTGTTTAGCTAAACCAGGATGTCTGGTTATCCATGTTTTGGCCCCTTGAGTCCAAACTCTTGTTTAAGTACATGAATGGAAGGGTCATTATTTGTGGTTCTTTGGCTTATACATTTCCTTGTGGGGAAGACAGTTTTGTGTGTGTATGGATGTATGCACTCCCTGCCCTCCAGATGTTCCCCAGTGCAACAATGATCTCTGAAGCTCCAGAGATAAATGTCAGACAACTGGAAGGCAATTGGCTATTAGTGTGCTCTTCTGTGATAGGCAAGGGACATAAAAGATAGGCATATCTTAAATATAGTGCAGTTGAACTGCATAATGTGCTTTGAAAAAGTGATTTATGTACACATTAATTGGTGTAATTTGAATGATGTTCCCATGGATACGTCGTGATATTGTGTTTCTTCACTTCTGATTATGATTCCGGTAACACGTTTTCTTTCACAATTAGCTTTCCCTGCAACCCATGTACTCTGACATATTTATCACTGTGTCTGAAACAGTGAATTTCTGTTTATAAGTTAGTGATTGCTTTTTATAAGGTTGTACTCCTTTGGTAATGCCACCAGCTTACCAGTATCATAATATTGAGTCCTCTTCACTTCCCTCCCAGCCCCACCATGGACATGAGTGATGAACAGTCATGTGCTCAGCAGATGAGCCCCTGCTAGTTCTGTTCCCAGCAACGGTGATCATGGACCTTTCTTTCCACCTACTAGCCTTTGAGATTGCCCTTGGTCCTCTGGGGAGGGGGCGGGGGTGCACTGCTGTTGTGGGAAGTGGGCAGAAAAGCTTTCCTGAATGCACCTGTTCTGAGAAGAGAACTTGGGCCTTCGGCGTTGTACTCAACTTCCTCTGTAAGTTTTAATGTGAAATAAATTATTTTTTACATAAATAAAACATTAAAATGTGAACTTGTCATTTTGGGGGAACAAGTTGCTGGAATTTTCCAAGCATTGAAATTTTCTCTAGAAATACATTCAAGTGAATAAAAAGTGCTCTTTATTTAATAAGGTCTTCATATCAGAAGGGTGGAATTTCTCCCTCATTTGTGTAGTGTATTTTAGACATCATACAATTAAACCAACACATCTGTTGATTTTTCCTTCCCTCTGAGTCATCTGTTTCTTTAACCTTTCTTTGTAAAGGAAACATCTTATAAATGATTGGAGCAACTATATTTGTATTACCTCCCAAGGTTTGAATTACCTTTTATTTATGGAGTATTGGTAAGCATTGTTTTAATAACTATATTTTGTTGCACACTTTGCCTATTGTAATCTTTGTTCTTCTCTTGATTGAGTGAATTTTTTTTAAGAAAGGAAGAACACGCAGTTGATAGTCTTGTTTGGGAACAGATGACATAACTTATTTGGGGAGATCATGTATTTGGGTTAAAAATGGAGAGAACCATTAAATACATTGCCTGCCTTAAAGTACCTTAATTGAACTGAACATTTGTTCTTCCATTTAATCATTTATTACAAAGATGACTAAAATATGGCTTCTATCTCTATGCAACTTGAGTATGACAAGCAACAACTCATTTATTGATTCCACAAATATTTACCAGGTATTGTTCTTGACACTGGGGGTATATAACAATCAACAAAACACAAAATCCCCATGCATGCTCATGTTCTCATGACCATCAGCATCCAGACACTTCTGATTATGGCGAACTACTGCTTGAGCAACACTGACCAAAGTGTCCACTTGTGTACATTTTTTTGGCACCCCTGGTATGTGTATTAGAAGAAAACAAGTGCTAGAGAGAAACTGAAAGAAGTGATAGAGACCGTAGGAGAGTAGGGTGGGGAGGGAGGATGCTTAAAATATTAAATACTGTGGTCACGGAGGCCATTAATGAAAAGGTGACATTCGAATAAAGATCGGAAGGAGATGAAGGAAGGATCCCCAAGGATCAATGGGTAAAAAGCATCCCAGACCATGAGGAAGGACTTGCAGGGCCCTGAAGCAGGAACATACCTGCCATGTTGGAGGAACCGCAAGGAAGCAGGTGTAAGTGCAGCAGAGTAAGGGAGAAGGAGAGTTAAGAGTACACGGAGAAGGGTTATTGTGAGGGTTCTTGTCACCCATTACATGGACTTGGTCTTCTCTGAGTGACATAGGCCACTGGAAGGTTTTGAGCAGGGGACTGCCATGGTCTGATTACATTTTAATACTGCATTGAGAACGGACTGATTGGGAGGTGAGGATGGAAATAGGCCAGTTAGGAGGCTAGGGCAATAATCTCGGCACTAATGATGTTGTATAGTTTTCATATACTTATTAGCCATTTGGATGTCCTGGAAGTTGTCTTTTGATGACCTTTATTTTGTTCAGTGAAAAAAGAGCAAGATGACTTTATGAGCTGAGGATGGGGGAGGAGATGGTATAAAATAATTGTTTCAGATTGGAAACTGGAAAAGCAGCTAGCCTGGGGTCAGGGTGAGGTGACGTGCCAGGCAGCATAAGGACCCACTGACTTAGGGAAAGTGAGTTTAAAAAGTAATCAGCCACTCATCTATACTCACCTGCAAGAATATAAGCAGAGTGCAGGCAGAGAGTAGGATTGTCCCAGGTTTGTGATTTATCCAAGCAAGCATGAGAGAGGGCAAAGGAGCTGAGCTCATGGACAGGGCAGTGATCATAATGATGGACCATAAAAGACTGAATCTGGGTAGGAAGGGAGGGGAGGGGACAATGATGGATGTGACTACCCACCATGAACTGCCAGTTAGGAATTTATGACCAGATCACCCTGGGAGGTTCCTTTCCACAGAACCCCTTTTTCGTCCACAGTTTCCTTCTACATGTTTTCATTCTCAATACCCAAAAGGACCAATGGTAATAATATAGTAGGTGTGCATTCATACCTGTATCCATGCTAACATACACACAACACCCAGACACATACACCCAGGGAGCATTTTGTTATTTGTTCTTATAAAATAGATCACTTTCTTCACTTCTTACACTGCCACTTGATTTTCTCAATCAGCTTCACCTCTTCCTGTCAGTGTAGTGAAAACTTTTTTTTTTGAAGATTTTTTTCAATTACAGTTGACATGCAGTATTATATTGGTTTCAGATGTACTACAGTGATTACACATTTATCTACCTTATGAAGTGATCACCCCGTCTGGTCTGGTACCCACCAGACACCATCTGTAGTTGTTGCAATATTGTTGACTGTTCCCTGTGCTGAACTTTACATCCCTGTGACTGTTTTGTCAATTTGTACTTCTTAATCCCTTCCCCTTTTCACTTTGCACCCAGGTCCCCTCCCATCTGGCAGCCATTGGTTTGCTCTTTGTATCTGTGGGTTTGTTTGTTTTTATTATTCATTTATTTTGTTTTTTTAGATTCCACATATAAGTAAAATCATGGCATTTGTCCAATAATAATATAAAAAAGCCTGGATGATGACCAGACTGCAGAAAACCTGTTCTGCTTCTGTCAGGGAGTTGGGACTTTATCTGTAAGCAATGAGGACCTGTAGAAGGTATATAAAAGAAAGCCTTTAATATGGAAATCTTCAAACATATATACGAGTAGAATGGTGTAATGAAAACTCCATGTACCCATCATCCAGCTTCAACAACGGTCAATTCCCGACCAGTCTTGTTTTAGCTATACTCTAACTTTCCAACCCCAACTGGGCTATTTTCAAGTAAATCCCAAACATTATTTCATTCATTCATTCTTTGGTATTTCTCAATTAAGATAGGTAATATCATATCTATACATATATATATATATCATATATATATATATGTATATATGATATATATATTTAATTTTTATTGGGGAACAATGTTTTTTTTCCAGGACTCATCAGCTCCAAGTCAAGTAGTTGTTTCAATCTAGTTGTGGAGGGCGCACTTCAGTGGCCCATGTGGAAATTGAACTGGCAACCTTGGTGTTATGAGCACTGGCTCTAACCACCTGAGCCAACTGGCTGTTCCGGTAATGGATATTTTTAAACACACCAACTAGATCATATCTAAAATAGTAACAATTCCTTAATTTAATCAAACACTAAACCAGTTTTTAATTTCCCCCATTGTGTCATGTCATAATTGTTTTACAGTTTGGTTATTTGAATCAGGATCCATGGGTTGATAAATTTCTTTTATAGGTTTCTTCCTCCACCTTTTTTTGTTTTGGCAATTTATTTGTTGAACAAGCTAGCTCGCTTTCCTCTGTAGTTCCCTGTATTAGGTTCTGCTGATAGGATCCCAGCAGTATCATTTAACATATTCCTGTCCCAAATATTTCTTATAAACTGGTACTTAGATTTAGAAACTTGATCAGATTCAGGTTAGAATTTTTGTTAAGAAAATTGCATGGTTGGTATTTTGTATTTCCTATTGCATCACATCAGGAGGCACATATTTCTGGTAGTTTCAAAAATTTTTTTTGCGGGGGGAGGGAGGTATTGAACTGTGAGGTTTGGAAGTTGTCAGCCTGATTGTAAATTTCCGATAATCTTTTCGCCTAATCGTTTTAGTAGCCATTGGTGATCATTGCTTAGTTCTATTATTTCATAATGCCTTGTAAAATGGTGATATCCTAATTCTACAAATACTTCAAATTTTTCTGTAGCGAAACTTTTCCTTATCAACTGTATTGTTACTCTGAAGTAGTTATTTCCCTTCATCAGTTTTCAGGACAATGAATTGGTTACCTAATGATCAATGGATTTGTGTGTGTAGAGAGGGAGGGTTGGTATCATCTTGAACTCATAAACTGTTTAAAAACAAAATTTGCATGCTGTGATTCAGTGCAATTATTTTGATGTTAAAAATGCTCCATTTTTGGTTTTTATTTTCCTATGGTTATTTACCACATTACCACAAAACTTGGTGGCTTAAAACAACAGAAATGTATTGTTTCACAGTTTTGGAGGCCAGAAGTCCAAAATCAGTTACATGGGGCCCAAAATCAAGGTGTTGGCAGGGCCACGCTCCCTCTGGAGGCTCTAGGGGAGAATCTGTCCTTTGCCTCTAGAAGCTTCTGGTTGCCAGCATTCCTTGGCTTGTAGGTGCATCACTCCAATTTCTACCTCCATGGTCACAATGCCTTTTCTCCTGTGTCAAATTTTCTTTTGGATCCTTCTTATAAAGATCCACGTGACTAAACTTAGGACTCATTCTAAACTCTCTCTCCCCATCTCAAGATCCTTAATCACATTTGTAAAATCTTTGCTGTATAAGGAAACATTCACACGTTCGAGGGATTAGGACCTGCTGTCTTTGGGGGCCATTAGTCAGCCTACTACAGCTAGTGAAAGCCCTTTAAAGTTGGCTCCTCTGTCCCTTTGACACGACTCCAGTAATTTTGAGTAACTTCCTTATTTTCTGATTCAAGAAGCCTTTCCAGGCTTATTATACTTCTCATCCCTTGAATCAGCTATTTTCATAGTTTTTTATTTTTAAAGTGTGAATGGCATTTATAAATGACAATTTGGGCACTGGGGATGCTTTTTGCTAATGGGTTGTCATTGAATCAAAGGGTCCATGCATCAAGGTGGTAGGGGGGAGTGAGAACGACTCTTCTCAATATTACATCTAAAAATCTCACAATTTTTGCTTCCTGTACCTGTAATTTTGGGCTCTGTTTGGTTGGATCCCAAGGGAGGAATGTATCCACTAGGAAAGCAACAACACCCCCACAGAACTGGTCATTGAGACTCCCATTTGGGCATTTAGGGTTCTTGTGCCACCGGACCAATGGGGAAAGGGAGTTATTGTATTGACTGGGTTGCTTGATCCCAATTATTAAGGGAAGTACAGCTGCTGAAACGATGGAGGGGAACTCTGTGGAGTACCTAGGTGTTATAAAAGTGAATGGAAGACTATAGCAACTCACTGAAGGAAGATTCGCTAAGGTCTTAGGTAACTTTAGTAATAAAGTTTAGGGTCTCCCCACCTATAGTTTGGCTGAAGAACCCTAGTCAGCGAAGGTGCTGCCTGAAGGCAATGGGAAAATGATATGGGCTGTGAAAAAACTGATGGTGGCCAGTTGATTTATAAAAATAAGGATTATGTCAGCTATTTGCTTATTCCTTTCTTATATACATATTTTTACTTGTTAGTAATCATTTCCTTCTTCTGTTACATATAAAAGTTTCAGTGGTGACTAATTTCACAATTTAGTTTTAAGATTACAAAACATCCAGAGGGGTTGACTTAAGTAGAAGAGGAATTAACATCATCCAGGTGTTCATAGTAACTGGTGGGACTCGGTGTCTCTTTTGGGGGAAATTAAGCAATTGTGTAAGAAATAGTTTGCCCTATGTAAATATCAAGATGGGAAAAAGGATGGGTGATTATGCTGACCATCGAAAGGAGGGTGCTAGATATTGTCTGTTCTTTCAGCTCCATATTAACTCTTTTGTATTTCCCTCTTCACTGTTGTAGCAGGAGATCCACAAGCTACATTTCCCAGACTTCTAGCAGCTGGAATTGTTTAGTTCTACGTTTGAGAGGCACTACTGGCATATTGGAAGGTGAGAGGGAGAAAGCATTTTTCCTGTACCTTCCAGTCGAGTCAACAGCAACGGCAGTGATGGTAGCAGAAGCAACAGTAGGTGCAGTGGGAGCTAGAGTGGCAGCACCAGCAAAGGTGCCAGCTGTGGCTGGGCAGTGCAGGCCAACTGGCTTCTGATCAGGGCGGCTTGCTTCAGCATGACAGCCTCAGTGGCATAGTGCCT